TTTTCTTGCTTTCCCTTCTCATAATTCTGCATACTTGGAATCAATCATGAGGATATTCGCAAGGCTGGATGAAAATGACTGGGTTTTTGCTAATTCATTTGAGGATCTGGAAAATGAGGTACCGGTCTAAAATGATTTTTTTTTTCTTTTTGTCTGAAATGAATTTATGTTTTACATCAACATATTTACAGTGCTGTGTTCTGCATTACTTTTATGTGAGAAAAGGTTATTCATGGAAAATGATAGGTCAGTCATGACAAGTAGCAATAAGTTTATATTGTTTTTTTTCTTCAGCAAACTAAACCATTTTATTGATCAGAGAAAAGTAGCGATATTTTGAGATAGACAAAGGGAAATTTTGGTAAACTTTCAATTGGTGTGTGTTCTTTTGTTGGAAAAATCAAATTGGGATTGGATTTAGTGAAGGGATTTCCTTAATTTTGATCCTTATGCCACTATTGATGCCAAAAATTTAATGGTAACAAATGCAATGGAGCATAAAATCTTATTAGTTACATAACTTGGTCAAAAATAATGTCACCAAGCATCACAACCCCAGCTTTATGGTGAATGCTTTTTTCTTGATCCTGGAAAAGTTGATGGGAGTTTTTTAATATATATGAACAATAGGCATGAGAATGAAACAGCCAAACTTTTTTACTGTCAAAACTTACTGTTCTTGATTAAGCTTTTCACCTTCACGCGCAAAAAAAAAAAAAAAAAAAAAAAAAAATCAAAGAAAAGCTTTTTACCATGAAACTCCTAGTCAACGAAGATCATGAACAATTTTAAACGGTAGATTTTAGCTTCGGAATCTGCACTCCTTAGACTTGTTAAATTTCAAGACATCAAAATATTGTGGAAAGATGAAATTGCTCCTCATGGAGAAATATGGCATCTCATTTTTAATTGCTTATTTATTGTAAAGAAACATGGAATTTCTTCAATGGGATGGATTGAATAAAAGCTAGCATGCTCACTATGAACAATTGCTTATCGCACTTCAACTAACCAAGATATAATAATTGACCAAATATTGCTATCGTTGTTGGTTATTGACACAATATATTATATTTTGTTTTGATGCTCCAAAAGTTGGCTAAGGTCCTGACAGGACTTTGGCCAGTACAAATGGTTGGACCAATGGTACCATCCGCATATGTAGAGGGGCCAATAGCAGGAGACTCAGATTATGGAGGCAGTCTGTGGAAGCCAAGTGACCACTATTTGAAATGGTTAGAGGAAAAGGCACCAAAATCAGTGGTTTTTGTGTCATTTGGGAGCATGGCAGATGTTGAAATCAAGCAAATTGAAGAAATTGCCTGTGGCTTAAAAGGCAGCAGCCATCACTTTCTTTGGGTAATCAAAGACTCTGAGCAAGAAAAGTTTCTTGCTGAATTTCTACAATCAAATGATGAAATGGGATTTGGAAAAATTGTGAAGTGGTGTAATCAGCTGGAGGTATTGGCTCACAAATCTGTAGGGTGCTTCATGACACATTGTGGCTGGAACTCAACACTTGAAGCAGTAAGTCTTGGGGTGCCTATGGTGGCATTGCCACAGTGGAGTGATCAGCCAACAAATGCCAAATTTATTGAAAGTGTTTGGAGGGTAGGAGTGAGAGCTAAAAGGGATGATAAAATGATTGTTACAAGAGAAGAAATTGAGAGGTGTGTAAGGGAGGTAATGGTTGGAGAAAAAAGTGATGAAATTAGGATTAATGCCTCTAAGATGAGAGAGCAAGCTAAAAGGGCAGTTTGTAATGATGGGAGCTCAGATATTGCTATCAACAATTTTGTTGAAGTGTTGATCAAAGGGAAGGGAACTAAGCTTAATCAATAAGATAACCATATAACATCATCTGGTTTCAGATAAATAAGTTGGAATCAAGTATAGTTTTCTAGATATATTTTAGTAGCTAATGTTGTGTTTACATGTCTGTACCTTGTATGTGAGGCATGTATGTGTATTTCACAGTGTTTTACATTATAAAAAATTTGTGAAGGAAATAAAAGTACCTTGAAATTTATGATAAATATGGTTCAAGTAATTTTCTCAGTGAGATTTTTTCTTTTTCTTTTTTTTGGTGGGGGTGTGAATTCATAAACAACTGTGGACTGTAATTTTCTTCACCTTAGTGCCTTTCTAGCCCAAGGGTCCACAGGGCTGAAGCTCAAGCTGGGGTTAAATATTTTTAGGATAGTAATATGGTTATAGCCCTTTATTTTTGATGACATTTTATAGTGGAGGCCCAATTCATCTACTTCATTCAACTTGAGCTCGTTGTCTAACATTTCACAGCCACCTTGGCGTCGAATTAAAGACAAACAGACAGGTAAAACCAATGCATGGGAGAGAGATGTGTCAAATGATAAGGTGGAAGGAATTGTAAATAAGAGATTTTATATTTAAAACCTTCTACTTATAACAAAAAAAAGAGATAAAAACAATGAATAAATGGCAAGAATCATTAACACAAGCGTAGATGATAGATATGCTAGCTATATTAAGGATTCGTCTCAATATCTTGTATATGTTTTGTAAAAGGAAGCAACCCTTTCGGTTTTTGATAATTGGTGTTTAGCATATTGCTATTTGTACAGGTCTACAAGATGACTGGTATGTTAACTCGGTTTGGTTTGTGACATGACTTCTCATTTGTTTCCCTTTTTTAAACATTTTTAATTGGGATAATACCAGATAGTTCCCTTAAGGTTTCTCTTAATTTCACTTAATATCTTTAAGATTTTAAAAATATCACTTATCTCCTTTACTTTTGTTATTTGTGTAGCAAAACTTTTAAAACCCTAAACTATTCTTTTACTTGCTAAATAAAAATATTTCTAAACCATTTTGTTCAGTTTAGAAAAATTATTAGTAGTACTACCACATCATATTGCTATAACCCATAAAAATATAAATTTGAAAAATAAAAAAGATATTTTCAAAGAAGTACACTTACACCAATTTAACTCTATATGCTCAAAACTGATTTCTTATGAATTTTATATATTTTTTTGAACCTTTTCTCAAACCATGTACAAATTTTAAATTGCACTGATCATTATAAAAATTGACTCAAAATAATCAAATAAATCATATCCACTCTATCACATCACAAAATATAAAAGCTAAACAAAATTCGATTTATTATAATTTACAAATAAAATATTGCATGGTCATCCAAAAAATGAGTAATAGAGAATGTTGGAGAAAAAAGAAAGAGAACAAAGTGACTTTTGTTTCTTTTTTTTTATTATTCTTGAGCTCCATTTATTTGATATATGAATTATGTAACAAGTGAGGGTTAATATAATAGTCTTTTTACAATTATTAGGGGTCAAGTGATACTAGGAGAAATCTCAAGGGAGGTTTATGATATTATCCCTTTTTAATGCTACCCTTTACCCTAATACCAGATTATGCAATAGTTAAGGGAAAATAGTCAAAGAAGTACAGCCGGAAAGCTTTTACCCTAACACACGCACACACACACATACATATACACACACACACAAACACACACACACACACATATATATATACATACATATGTACATATATATATACATACATACACACACATATATATATATGTAGATGATGTAACTTCTCATTTGTTTCCCTTTTGTAGATGATATTATCCCTTTTTAATGCTACCCTTTACCCTAATACCATATTATGCAATAGTTAAGGGAAAATAGTCAAAGAAGTACAGCCGTAAAGCTTTTACCCTAACACACGCACACACACACATACATATACACACACACACAAACACACACACACACATATATATATACATACATATGTACATATATATATACATACATACACACACATATATATATATGTAGATGGTGTAACTTCTCATTTGTTTCCCTTTTGTAGATGATATTATCCCTTTTTAATGCTACCCTTTACCCTAATACCAGATTATGCAATAGTTAAGGGAAAATAGTCAAAGAAGTACAGCCGGAAAGCTTTTACCCTAACACACGCACACACACACATACATATACACACACACACAAACACACACACACACATATATATACACATACATATGTACATATATATATACATACATACACACACATATATATATATGTAGATGATGTAACTTCTCATTTGTTTCCCTTTTGTAAACATTTTTGAACAGTACCCCTTATCCCAGCACCAAATTATGCAAAAGTTAACCTTTCCTTATAAATATTGATTCTTCTCTTTATAATATTCCAAATTTTTTCAACATAAATAGCGATTATGTGTAATAAATTTATATCAATTTGTGCCAAAATTTGTAACTTGGCAATGTAATAATGGATTAATTCGATGCAAGTGTAAAGTAACGGTGCAAAACACAATACTTCATGAAATATATGCATAAACGTTGATTGCCAAAGTTCTTTTACATGCATAGTTTCTTTCCCCGGAGTAATATTTAATGTGAATTTGCATGTTCCGTGGAAATTCATGTAACTCAACGACCTCAACCGCTTCAGTCCAAACATCGAATGTTTATGCCACTTTTGTACTTTTCAGATGATATCATATCGTTGTCCTTTCCACATCAGGCGATCGGTTTTCACAAATTCAGCATGGGATCATTGCAAGAAGTTACTTCATCACTTCCTAATTTTTTAATAATACTTTTTTTGCCCTTTCCAAAGTGTCTATACTGTCTAATAAATCTCACATCCCTAATTTCTTAAAGAAATCTTGCAGTTTTCTGCAGCATTATTTAGCAATTTTTTTCCTTTAATTTCATATCTTCATTTTAATTTTTTTAAAAAAAAAGCAAAAGGAAAGAAGTAGTTAAAAGATCTAAAGTAGGCGTTCAAATCCAATAGAATACCTTCTTTTGCATTTTCATCAATAAGTTCTTAATAGAGAGCAAAAGGAGGGATCATAATCCAATAATAGCATTTTTTTGTCTAGTTGGATTGTACTACAGAAATCCATATTCAATTCTTTATTAAAATTAACATCAAATCGTACTCATCGATGGCGGGCTACCTCAAGTTGGGAGTTGAAATTCCAAATTTGTCGGTGGTCAATTAGTGCCTTTGGAAGCTTAGCTGAAATTCCATGTACTCCCAAATCCCAGTGATCCTTTATTCTTCAAACCTCGGTAGATTTCCGACAAATTTCTGGGAGATAACACAGTCCAATTATAAATAAACACTGTACAGAGACAGCAGCACACAGCAGCACAGAACCCTCGTGGCAGTTGAAGTACGGACAGTTTAACGATTTTTCCACAATGACACGGCCTTTTGTCTTTAGCTGTTTTGGTCTCTCTATATATGCAAGTCAAACAAGCAAACTGAATCAGCATTGCCACAATTGTTTGCTTAAAAGAAAAGAAGCTTTTTCTTTTGCCATAAAAGGCCTGCAAGGCAAACTTCTTCTGATATTCTTGAAATTGTGAGAAGTTTTGATTTTCTTCTGATTTTGAGAATTTCTATAACGACCCCATCTGGGTTTTGTTTGGATTCCTTGACAGATTCACCAAAAGCAGAAAAAAAAAGGAGCGAGAAGAATGTCACAGGTCTGGCGGACTGAAGAAAGCAGCAAGCCTGGATCAGAGGAAGGAAACTGTTCTAGTTACGAGGGGTTGGCTGTTTTGCGCTCAAAGAGGTGAATGAAGATCAAATTTTCTTTAATTTTGTTGATGAATATACTTTAGTACTGAAATTAGTTCTAATTTTTGTACTGTGCTTGTGAATTTTTTGTTCGTTCTGGGCTTTTGCTGTCTAATTGAAATGATAGGTTGGAAGAACTTGAGGATATGGTGAATCAGAAATTCAACAATATAAGAAACCTTCAGGAGCAAGGATTCGAGGAGATGAATCAAAGAATTGTAAGTTTGATTTTGGCCAAGAACATATTTGTGAGCTGCATCATGTAGAAATAGCTTATGATATGCATATGATAGTGATTTCATGATTTGGTTTGGAATTGAGCCTAACATATTTGAAGGTATTTTCTCGTTCTCAGCTGTCTGCCTTTTTTCCCCACCAAAGTTATGAACGTTTGCGTCTTTTTCTGTTCGTTCTTTACTTTTGTACTCTAATAGGGATCTCTGGAAAAGGAAACGTATAATGCTTATAAGAGTTCAAAGGTAGCTCTGTACATCTGTGCATTTCTTGAATAGTGAACTTGAAGCAGTAAGAAACAAACAAAAATTGGATAATTATTACTTTAATATAGATAGTTGCTAAAAATTGAAGATTATTACCTAAAAGATGAAGAGAACCACTTGCTGACTAGCTGCTTATTATTTCTGTCTCTTCTATTTCATTTTTTCTCATTGGAAATCCCAAAGGTAGTATCCAAGTACTTGTACTACTTATTATGCTCCATGTTGGTCTGTACTTGTCATCTGTTGTTGAAGTCTTTGCTTATGCTATATATTCAATCGTTATTGCAAACAACAAGAAAATTTTCCAGCAAATCGAAAAGCAAGATTATTTCTTCTTTCTTGCAAATCAAAGAAATTTTTTGCTTTCTTGCTTGATGAATATTCTTCTTATATCTACTCGTGGAAGTATATTTATTTCCCCAAAAAATTTTGTTGCCATGTGAGCAGAAGAGCTTTTCACCTTTGTATCTTGTTCGGCTGAGATCTAATAAAATCCCAAATTTGAACTCTGCCAATGGATGTATGATAATATTGAGATGCTTCTGGTTCTGATTTATGCTTCTTGCATCAATTGAAGCTTGCTATTGGTCAAAGAATAGATAAACATGAAGTGGCTGTGGAGAAGCTTTTGGTTAGTAGTAGGAGGTAAGAAGCAAATTGAAAGCTCCATTTGGACTTTCCTGGCACATGATAGTTGTATAGTGTTTTCTCATTTACATTGTCTATGTAAGTATCACAGCTCAAACATGTCTGTGCTTCTTGTCCAGTAATCTTGAGAAGACAATACAGGACACCAAACAAAGATGCATGAAGTTAAAATTCAACAGCAATATCTCCGTTCCTATTCTAACTGGAGAGCAAATCAAAGGAGAAGGAGGTAACAATTTGCAACTTTCTCTGATTGATAATTGTACAGGAGCAGTTGTTGACTTTGGACGAGAAGCCTCTGCTAAAGTGGAAATAGTTGCTCTCAAGGGAGATGATAAAGGAGATGCTTGGACAGCTGAACAGTTTCAAAGTAAAATTGCTCGAGACAGGAGAGGAAAACAATCTGTTCTCGCAGGAAATTTGCAACTGGAATTGAATAAAGGAATTGTGTCTTTGTCTGATGTTATGTTTAAAAGTTCTCAACACTATAACGGCGGCACCTTCAAGCTAGGGGCTTGGGTTGTTGATACTTTTGATGGCAGTCGAGTAAAAGAAGCGAAGACAAATTCTTTCAAAGTCCATGACTATCGCATTAAATGTAAGAGATCCTAGTCCTTTTTTCTCTTTTTTTTTCTTCTTTTTTTCTCTCTCTACTATGTCATTTTACCCAATTCAAATGAATCATTGTCAAAGGAATGGCTGCCATTATACTAGAAAACTGCTTTAAGATAAAAGTAAATAGGCACTGTGGACAAGGCATTATTTCTTGTAAAAACTGATCTGAGATGTTGATATAAGAGTCAAAAGATGAATTAATGAGGCCTGAAGTTAGGTTGTCACTTGAGATTAACACCAGAAGAGACCAAAATCAAATGAAATACTGTAGAAGAGATAAAGTTTTTAGTTGTTGAAAGTGTTAGGATCCAAGCGAGGAACAAATAATTATTGAAATATCAAGTATAAAACAATTTAATGGCAAACAAGCCACAAGTATAAAAGATAGACGATACACAATATTTAACGTGATTCGACTCCACCATTTAGCCTACGTCCACAGAGAGAAATCCATTCTTTATTATGAGAGGAAAATCCTATACAAGAATACAACTTAAACCCAAGTTCAACCTTTGTATACCATCTCTCATCTTCCAAGAACCCTCTCCCACTTCATGTATAAGGCTACATGTTGTCCTTGTGTGTCTCTTTGTAGTATACCAATCCACCTATTTATAGAGAACATTATTTGACCAAAACCCAAACAACAACAAGAAACCAATTCTAATTCCTAAACTTGCATAGAATAGGAAATAACTTCTAATCCTAAACAAAATAGGAAATTTCTTGGCTACTATTTCAAATAACTAAAACCAATTAGAAAACTAGTTATTTCCACACAAAACAAGAAACTTGTTTAAAAGAAATTAAACCAATTTCCTAACCGAAAGGAAATGAAAAGAGGGTTGAGAATCATGACAGTTGGAGAATGCCTATAAATGTATGACAGGGATTGACAAAGACCTATTGGATTGCTTTTTGATTTCCTAGAGGATTTGTGAATTCCATTTTTTTTCCTGAAAACAAAGCAATATTGTAAGCTTTTCTGGTGGCATATTTTTTAGCTGATACTTGTAACTCAGTTCTAAATTGGAAAAATATTTGTTCTCTGGCACTTCTGTATTCTTTGACGTATGAGGTGTATCTTCTGCTGAAAAACAGGACATAAACGATCTAGCATCTTGAGAACTATCCTGTTTTGCAAATCAAACAAATAGAAAACTTGGATGACGAGTATAAGAACTTCTGCATCTGCTAAATGCTGTTTCTGCAGATAACCAGAAGCATTACCCCCCATCTCCATCTGATGAGGTTTGGCGGTTAGTGAACATTGCGAAAAATGGTGCTACCCATAAACGTCTGAAGAGGGAAAAGGTGAACTATGTGAAGGATTTCCTGACTCGACTCTCAAAAGACCCGCAAGAGCTCAAACGCGTAAAGTTCATTCCTTTACTTAATTTATACAGGCACTCTGCAACAAATTATTGGGTGCATACATGATTCACCATATCTTCTTGTTCAACATGACCAGTTTAAACATACTATTTATAGCATTATGACTATGTCAACTAGTAAAACTTTACATACCTAAAACTCTATCACTGTCCTCTTTCGCCACCAGCTTTTATATTTGATTTGTCCTTATCACTGAAAATGAGAGCTGCTCTCTCGCATGAAACTCTGCTACTACTTACTGGTAATCTACAAGGTATGTGCTGTCTAGGATAATGTTAAGATAGCAAATAAATGCCCAAAAAGAAATGCTACTGTAATAACACTTCAGCTAGATGCTGGACCCCTTTTCTTTCCTTCAAACCTAATGCTTGTTATTGCTTTTTTGTAAGCTAACCTAACAATAGTTGAGTGGATGAAGTTCAAGATCTTGTGAATAGTTGGAAAGTTTCTTACTCTGCATTTTAGAATTAATGCATGTTATTTTGTACAACTGACAGCTAGTACGTCTACCTGAACCGAAGTGGGAGGCCACAGTGAGACACGCTAAAACATGCAAACCTGATAATATAGTTGGACAGGTTCCTGCCCCTGCACCAGTATGTGTAACTATGTTATATAATCTACCAGAAGAGATTACAGAATACTTCATAAAAACCAATTTCACTTTCTCTCTCTTTTCCTTTTCCATTTGTTGTACCTCAATCTTATGGCAGTTTATGAATATGTATTGACAGGGTGATGCTTGCAATATGTTAGTAGCATCTGTACATCAAGACAAAGGAATCCCTTTTGATGGTAATATCATGCCATCCATGGATTCACCTGGGGTTTTAACCGGCCTGGATGTATCTGACTTTCCCATTGTGGACTCTATGGAGATTATATTTGACCACCCATTGAACATTCCTGGCCAAGTCACGAACAACATGATATGTGACATAGACTCCATGACTCCAGCTTTCTACGAAGATGAGCACCTACAATTTGTTGATTCTTCAAGTTTGGGGCCATCCACTGGTCTGCATACTGCTGTTAGTGGCTTTCTGAGGCATCCGCCTCGTAATGGTCGGAGGAGATGGAACATGCTATTCAGTGTCTGGAGATGGTCTTCTTCTATAATAAAGTTGGTCGCAAGAAAATCTAAGGCGAAAGAAGTAAAAGGATACCGTTAACAGCAACTGTTTGGTTGGCGTTACAAATGCAATTCCAGTTATTAGCTATGGTGTAATTTCTTTTTTATAGATTCTAAGTATTACTTTGATGTTTTTGTGTACCCTTTTTGTGATGTGGGTGTTCTCTTTGATGTTATTTGAGTTAAAATTTTCAATTTTTTTAATTAATTCATTGCTCTCCTTCATTTGACTTTATGATTTTATTTTCAGTTTTAGTGGATTTTTTTCCAGTTTTTTATGAGTAAATGATTGAAGTGCCATTTCAGTTAGTTGTTAATGATTATTAGTGCTATTTCAATTAAAACACTAATTTTTAATCTGGCCATTATTTTTTTTTGCTTTCTGGTTTACTTCACATAGGTGTTAGTCATTTAAATTAGACAAAATTTATTTGTGGAGAGATTATAATTAAGATGGATGTTTATGATATTGGGAATTTGATTCTTGGAGCAGATGAAGTGTAAAGTTAGAGGTGGCGATAATTTTGTAGGCGAATGTATAGTATATTCTTTGCTCTTTGCATTTTTTTCCATGTTATTTCTGTTAATAATAGAGTATTAATGGTCTACCACATATACAATTTTTTCTGTCTATCAGTTCATTTTTTGACAATTGAAATTTCATTTGTAAAGACAATTGAATTCTTCTTTTTCTTTTCTTTTCAATTATTTTTTTGGGCAGACTCTAACACAAAGCAAACTTGACAAAAACTCCATTATTCTAATAGCACCTTGTTTTGGTATCAATAGTAATAATTTGATAATTTGAAAGTTGAATTAGATTGTGACTAATAAAAAATTTTAGATTGAAATAAAAATGAAGATGGAATGCAAAGAGACATATTAGATTGGAGTGTTTAATTTTGTTTAAAGTCTTCATAACTCAAATTTAATTAAGTTTTCAATTTATTTCTTCACGAGTGCTATAGTTATTGACTACCATTAGAGTACAATAAATTTAATAATTAGGGAGACGGATATCTTGAGCATAATAGAAAATTAAGGGCATGTTCTCAACAGATTCTGTTTTTGTAAAATTGATTCTTGAAAATTAGATTATTTAGAATAACTCACGTGTTCTTATTTACTGCTAAAAAGTCATTTTAATAAATACATAGGTGTCCTTAAAAAAAAAAAGTTAAAAAGCTGATTTTTATAACCATTTTACCTTATATGAAATTTCGTCCTTCTTACACTCTAATTTAATTTACCTAGACCCACTGTACTTTTATAAAGAGTACAGACAGATAGATAGGTATGTATTTGAGTGCTTTACATTATATAAATACTAGTTCTTAACCTATTTCTTGAACGGGATTACATACAGTTTATTAAAAAATTTGATAAATTTAAAATTTTAAAAATTATAAATCATATTATGTGTAAGTGTTGGAGATATTTTAATCCTTTTAGGCATCAACTAGCTATTGTTGATGAAAATAAAACAGTTAAAAGTTAAGTAATTTCCAATGTAAATTGCTAAGAATTTGCTCAAATTGAATTATATTAAACACAGTAATTACAAAATTTAAGGGGGTAAAATGGTGGGAAAAGATAGGCATGATTCTTGTTAACAATTATAAAAAATTTAGAAGCTAACGCTCAAAATTATTATCAAAACAAAAACACTCCCAAAGGTGGCTAAATTAAATATTAAACACAATTTATACTAAAATTAAGGAGAAAAAGTGGGTGGCAGTATAAGGGATTGACTCTTGTTAACAACAATAAAACTCTTAAATTATTACCAAAACTAAAACACTTAAAGACTGTCCAAATGAAATATTAGAAACAATAAATATGAAAATTAAGGGAAAATGGGTAAAAAAAAGATGGGTTTGATTACTTTTTTTTAAACAAAAGTAGAACACTCAAAATTTGATAATATGAAAAATAAGGATAAAAAATGAACAGAAAAAGATGGGATTGATTCTTGTTGACCTTGGTCCCTAACTTTTGATGATTACAAAACAAATGGATGTTGCTAATATCTCCTCAAAGGCTTTTTCAGAAATGAAACAAATCAGGTTCAAAAATTAAGCACATTTGAAAAAGACAGAGTATGCCGAACCTGTCGGACGATCAAGAAGACAGTACCGGACGTCCGATAATCATTGGTCCCTAACTTGGTCCCTAACTTTTGATGATTACAAAACAAATGGATGTTGCTAATATCTCCTCAAAGGCTTTTTCAGAAATGAAACAAATCAGGTTCAAAGATTAAGCACATTTGAAAAAGACAGAGTATGTTGAACCTGTCGGACGATCAAGAAGACAGTACCGGACGTCCGATAATCATTGCACAACTTCGGACGCATGCTTCGGACGTCCGATAGGATCCTTCAAAGTCGACGAAACCGTCGGACGCTGAATATGTCTCCACCGGACGTCCGATAGAAACGAGATGAATTCTCAAATCTCTTTGTTTGCTGTCGGACGCACAAAGAGCTTGCACCGGACGTCCGATAGAATTGAAGAAGATTTTTCAGACTCACCGCCTGCTGTCGGACGCAAGCATCGGACGTCCGACAGTATCAGACGCAAGCATCGGACGTCCGATACTCCAACGGCTAGTTGACTCTTCCGCTACTTTCTATCCGTTGGAAGCATTAATGAGGCACTTTCTTGATCCTATATAAATAGTGGTTGGTCAGATACTTCAAACAATTTTGACACACTGAAGATACAAAAGATCTAGAGTGATTTTAGTGAGAAAATACTCTTCAAAGAAGATTTGTAGTCTTAGTGGTGTGAGGTTCATTGTAAGCTTTTTATTTGTGAGTGAATACTTCATGAGTGTAGCTCTGTGAGGGTTGTCCTGAGGGATAGTAAAACGTCCTGGCTTGACCGAGTGGAGTTCGGGGCAAGGAGGAGGTGAACCTTCCTTTGTACACAAGAGTGATTGTTATTCATCAACTTGAAGTAGCTTGTCTGAATTAATCTACAAGCTCAAGAGGAGCTGGGTAGTTAATTGGTTTGCAATTCCTTCCTTTTTATTTACTTACTGTTACGTTTATGATCTTTGCATTGTTTATCTCTTTTACTTGGTTGTCTTCGATCCTTACAATTGGTATCAGAGCTTGGTCTCCTAGAGATTAAGCTCAATCGGCTTGGGAGTAAAAATGACAACCAATAATGCTATGTTTTTTGAAGGACATTATGTGATTAGACCACCTATGTTTAATGGGTCAAATTATGTGAGTTGGAAAGAAAGAATGATTATTTTTTTGTAATCTATTGATATTGAATTGTGGTTTATTATTAGTGAAGGTCCATATGATGCCTCTCTTATAGATGAAAATACTCATAGATCTAGACCAAAAACAAGAAGTGAACTGACTGCTATAGACGGAACTCATCTCACCTTAAATGCTAAAGCCATGAATGTGTTATATTGTGCTTTAGACTCAAATGAATCTATTAGAATCAAAGGCTGCAAGTCAGCCAAGGAAATTTGGGATAAACTGAGAGAAATTCATGAAGGTAGTGAGAATGTTAGATAACAAAAGAAATCCATTCTGGTTACCAAGTATGAATCGTTCAAGATGGAACCTCATGAAAACATTGATGAGATGTACTGTAGATTCAATGACCTCATTAAGGACTTAGAGATGCTGGAAAAAGAATATTCTGTAGGTGAAAAAAATAGAAAAATCATGAATGCCTTGTCCAATGATTGGGAAAATAAAGTGACTGCTATTGAGGAGGCTAAAAATTTGAATACTATGCCTATTGAATCTCTTATTAATTCTCTAACCTCTTATGAGCTGAAACTTAAATCCAAAGTGCAAGAGGAGGAGGATGCGAAAGTAAGAAAGAATATTGCTCTGAAGGCTTCACAAGATGAAGATGATCCAGCCTCCGTGAGTGAAGATGACATGGAAGGTAATGATAGTGATATTGCACTCATCACACGAGGCTTCAAAAGAATACTCAACAAGAGAAAATTCAGAAAAAGTGGACCTAGCAACTCCTTCCCGAATCAGTCCAACAATTTGAGAAACAAAGGGAAGATAGAGTTCAATAAAAAGCAAGCAGATAAATGCTTTGAATGCGGGCAACCTGGACACTATGCAAGTGAGTTTCCAGTGATGAAGAAGAAAGAAGGAAGAAAACCAAGATTCAACAAATTTCAATTCACATGGAATGAGTGCAACTCCGATGGTGAAATTGAAGAGGATGAAGAATCTGCTCAATTGACTTTTATGGCCATTGGAGATGATGAGGTAACATCTTGTAACTCTCAATTTGAAAGTGATGATGAAACTGATGATGATCTTGAATTTTTCATTATAAAATTGCATGATAGTTTGAAAGAATCCTATACTAGAAACAAGGAGTTAAAATAGAAAATTAGTTTTTTGCTTCAAGATAATGCAAATCTTTTTCAACAAAATAACAAGTTGAAAGCTGAAAATGATTACTTCAAAAAGAGTGAGACTGCTTTACACTTTGAGCTTGATAGAAAAATAAAACTTTGTGAATTATTCAAAAAGGAACAAGGTGATTTGAAAAGAAGAATGGATGGTCTAAATGAGTTGGTTAAACACAAGAAACAAGTCTGTTTTCAAAAGAATATGTTGAATTCTAATTCCAACGAATTTGCTATTTAGAAGAGAAGACAAGTAAGATTTATTAAATCTGTTCATATAAATAACTCTTTAGTTATGTGTAATTTCTGTTGTCAAAAAGGTCACATGAAAAGTGATTGCTATGTGAGAAAAAATATGAAAAAAGGCATGAAATGCATGTGGATAGTTAGACATGATACTAACTCTAACAAGTAGAAGATTTTGGTAAGATTGATGAGATTCTTGTTCATAATGCTTTTCTCTTTTGATGTTTCTGATGTTTTGAACTAAGTTTTTATTGATCTTTTACTGAATTTGTATGATGTCAAAAAGAGTGAAAAAAGAATAATGCTGATCTGATGATGATTTGCTGTGATTGCTGTCATTTCTCTGTTTTTATTTGAATTATTGGATTCCCTGTTATTGTTGCTGTTTTTGGTAGCTAATTTTTACTTTCATCTTATGATGACAAAAAGGGGGAGAAATGGATGCTATGTATAAGGGGGAGTTATTCTGAAATTATAAGTTTAGATGCATTGTGTGAGGGGGAGCTTATGCTTATATGCTCAATTTTTTTTCTTTCTTTCATCCATTGTTTTGTCATCATCAAAAAGGGGGAGAATGT